CTAGGCTGCCTACAACCCCCAAGAATGTAACTGAAAGAACAAGGTGAATGGAGACCCATCTTACATATTTTAGTAATTTAGGGCTTTGTCTTCATATATTAATATAACGAATATGACTTTTTTTACATGCCGTTCTTATTAAAATATTTATTGAGATTCTGATTCTTGGTATTGTCTAATTGGATAAAACAACTAAAGCACGAGAAACATCATTAAACCTATTAAACTGATATAAAGAAAGATGTAGGCATTGTTATGAACCTAAATGCATTGTCTACGACGGACATGGACAGTGGTGAAATACCGTGATTTTTTACCCGTTACCCGAAATCTTGGGATAATCAAATTACATTTTTGTTCTTAGCAGTTCTAGTATTGAGTTCAATTAATTTCTTGATTCAAATTCCTGATTTTCATTTGTAGAAGTCTCAAGATCATTAGTGCCTGTAGAGTATTTGTATAAGATATAAATAGATGAATAAACTCAATCTCTCTACTCTGTATGTTAACAACATTTCCCTCACATCTCGTCTACTGTCTGCGTTTCTTAAAGGAATATAGAGGAGTAAACGGAAGTTGACTGAAATATTTTGGTAGCAAGTTGCATTGCTGGCATTGCGATGTTAAACGTTTGTAATTCTAATGGCGCCCAGAAACAAGCAAAGGCGAGGAAATCCAGAGAACAGCACATCTGGCAGTTCCGCGTGCTACTAGCGGTGCATTATTGAACTACTTGTTACTTAACAGCGCTCCCATTTCATTAATATTGCGTTTAACGATGTAAAGGAAGAATTAACGATGTAATAGTGTTTAACAGATACAAATAATTCTTAGAAATGGCATTCAAAGTTTTTTGAAAGTTAGTGTACATATTCTCGTATATTATTACTATTCTACTCAAGAAATAATTTTAAATACTAAACTGATGGCAAATACAGATTATGAGCGAAATATTTGTAAAATTCTAACAAAATAGGGAATTCAAAAATACGTCCATCATATGTTTAAATTCCATCGTAATGTATAAATTCATTTATCTATCACAATCCATTAGCTATTTAAATGTAAATGAACTGGTGGTGTAAAAACAACACTTACTTTCTAGCATTATTTCTAAATTTGAAATTTTCGAAAATTCCGAGAGTTCATCGAAAATGAGACCGTGATTTTTTGCCCCAGTTCCTAAGCTTTTCTACCTGGCTACCGGTGCACGACTACAATACTTTATTTTGAGACGTATTAAGAGTCAAAAATTAAAGAAAAGTTGTGGGCGGCCTGTAAATTTGATGTAGATGTTTTTCAAAAATTCTTTGTCAGAACTAAAATCTTATTATTAAGCTCAGCACACAAACGCAGCTGGTGCGTTCCTTGTATTGGTCACGGTTCTTTGCTTCACACATCTCGCGAGCGCGGTCTGTAAAATCCGGTCTTGAAAGCGAGACTCCGACGGCGGATCAGCTCTCAACGAAGTAAGCGGCGAGCCCTAAGGAGATCAAGAGACTTTTCTTTGCGGCCGAGTCCGCGGACCTCCTTCGGGACTTTTTCTCTCTTGCGAACTGGACGTCTTTAGTACGAATCACCGCCACGTGGCGTCGGCGGCCAGGAGAAGCGGAGTTTTGTGGCGGAGCCCTCCCCGCTAAGCCATTCTCTTACGTGGCATCAACAGTGAAAAATTCGCTAAAGAAGCTCGAGCAAAGTATATTTCCGGGGATTCTATAAAGGAAGTGAAGACCGGGTGTGTATAGTATATTTTCCGCGTAACACGCGGAGAAAACTTTCTGAAGGATCCTGGTAAAAGGAAGCTTTACACAAAAGACAGATGTTTTGGAGGTACTATATTTTCTTTTTAAAGAAAGTGTGAAAAGAATAATATTTTGCAGATATGTCTAATAGGATTGTTTGTTATTTGGGAGTGGTGTTTAATTCTATACGAGAAAACAATTTAAAAATTAATGCAGGCTGTTAATATTAGTAAAGGTTAACTGGATTTTATTCTTCGATGATTTTCATCATTTTTGTACAAATTTATTGTGTCTAACAGAACACTGTTCGTAATATAAGAAATCATGTTCGATAATATGACGTTCGATGAGGTATTCTTTAAATAAACTTTGCTTTTCTCTGAGAATGAACAATTCTCTATGAATATTTTTAAAGGACGAAACAATTGATATATCCTTTTTCATATATTATTTCCCTTTTTATTTTCTTGTTCTCCCTTTCTCTCCCTCTTAACGATAATTTGCGTGTTATTTCAAATTGGTTACACTATTCATAAATTGAAGGTGCTTTCACGGTTACAGGTTTATTCTTCGTTGAAGCGTCGTCCTCTTAATTAAAGCTTCGTATCTTTATGAATTCAATATTTATGAGAGAATCGTATTAAAGAGTGCAACTCGAATCATGGCGGAAGTAACTAGTTCAGGAAATAGAAATGTGCTGGATGCAACGAGTTACTGTCAACGCTAATAGTTTTATATTCACCCAGTAAATAAAGAAAACATCAATTATAAAAAAATTCTTATTTTGATCTAATATCTTCTTTTTTTGTTATTTTTCTGTAAAATATCTTTCTTGGTTTTCATTCGACATTTTTTCAGCATTCTTTCATCTGACTCCAATTTTGTTCCTATTCATTTTCTATATATCAGTCTAGCTCTTATTGTTAGTAAGTTTGTAGCTTGTTAATTAATAATACCGGACGAAAACATTTGCGAGACTATCACGAATCATCATGTGTAAAACGTTTTACCACGTAAAATTAGTCTGCTTACTTTTCATTAATATTAAAGGCCTACGTTAAGCTGTGCGTTAAATGGTGGCTTTCGAGAGCTTGCGCCCGTGTCGTTATGGAAGTCTGCGATTGAGAGAGTTCCTAATGAGCAACACGAAAGCTGCCGGTGGAGGCGCATGAAACGCGATGGAGATATCCGATCTCGCGCCGCTTTTAAAATGTACATGCGCGGCGACAAGGCGCCAGATAAACGGGTCCGTCTCCTGAGCAGGGCGCAATTGCCGTCGTTACCAACTCGCGAACACTCGGCCATCTCCTCGATGCAGGAGCCTTCGCCTGGCGCTAATTAGCGGCGCAAATCACTAAAACGGAGAGGCCGCACGCGGCGCGCAACAAGTTGGCAGCGCGCTTCCCGGGCACTGGCGCGCGACGAGTGCTGCGGGAGGGGGGGACGGTGACGGCGCGGGAGAAGCCGCTGGCGGCGGGCGCGGGGGGTGGCTGCGGAGGAGGTCGAGGGGGAGCGGAGAAATGATGGAGAGGCGAGGAGGCGAGGAAGAGGCGTGCGAGTGGCGTGGGTGTGTTGTGGGAGAGGTGAGAGAAGGGAGGTAGAGGTGATGGAAATGTCGGAGAGGCTTGGTCGAGGTGAGGGAGAAGCGTTAGAGAGGCGCGGGAGATGCGTGGGAGTGGCGTGGGTGTGTTGTGGGAGAAGTGATGGAGAGGCGAGGGAGGGGCGAGGGAGTGGAGGGAGAGAGACAGAAAAGATGCAAGCAAGACATGTGCGAGAAGTGTAGAAGAAACGGGAAGAGACGGGGGCAAAGAGGGGGATTTGGGAGAGAAGTGGTGATGAGGGATGGGAGACGCAGGGAGAAGAGGTGAGGAGGCGGGGAAATGGTGGGCTAGAAGCAGGGAAGAGGCGCGGGGGAAGGTGCGAAGAAGCGGAAGGACAAAGGAGAGACGGGCACGAGGCTTGGAAGCGGGGGAGAGCAGTGGCGGGAAAATGCGAAGAAGAAGAGCGCCAGAAGTGGGGCCAGGGCGAGAGAAAAGCGGATATAAACGGATGTTATTTCACGAAAGACGAAATGAGGCAGTAAAAACAGAAATGTTACGGAAAAAAACGGAGAGGAGACCGGCGTAGTAGATGCCGGCCGAAAGAGAGGCGCCGGTCGAAGGTGAAGGCAGAACAGATACAAGTTGAGACGGAAGAAGCCGGAAGCATGTTGAACGCGAGGCTGGCTATGGAAGAGGCCGAGGTGGCTTCATGAAGGTGGAGCGGAGAAATGATGGCGAGGCGAAGAGGTGAAGGAGAGGCGAGGGAGAGGCGTTATAGAGGATTAGGAGTGGCGTGGGAGGGGAGTGGGAGAAGCGGGGGAGGCGACTGGAGGCCGATGCGTGTGGGGGGCGGGCGGCCAAGAGTGAAGAGCTGAAGGTGGAAATAGGCGGGGGCGCGTCCCGCCATGGAGGAAGCGGAGCACGGGGCGCAGTCGCGGTGGGCGGCGCAGCCCCAGGAAGCGGCGCCGCGGGGAGTTGTTGCTCTTTGGGAGTTAGAAAGCGCGCAGCACTGGCCCGGCGCCGGGTGTTGTGCGGCTACTCGCGGCTCCGTCCGCGTGAATGGCGGGCGAAATGCGTGGGTGAGGCGTTGCCAGGAAGCGTGGCGAGGCGGACGAACGTGGGCGAAGAAGACGGGAAGCCTTGACGGACGGATCGAGAGCGCAAAAATCCGCGTGCAGATGGGGGCAATAACGGGGCGGATCGGACGTGATGGACCATATTGGGGAGTCGGGGCGTATAAGGGCGGCGCCGAGCGTAGTGGGATGAGTGCGGCGTGGGGACGCGTAGCGTGTGGGCAAAAGATCGGGGGGGGTGAATAGACGAGAGCGTGTGGGAGGTCACTCGCGGAGCTGCGAGACGGGAGAATCTAGCGTACGGGGCGGAAAAGAGGGGAATGGCGGGGTGGAAGGCGCGAAGTCGGGGCGCAGTGAATCGGGCGTACCGGAGCGTGGAGTTGAGTGAATGGCGGCGCGGCACAGCGGGTGGAATGTGCGCGGCGGAAGCATGGCGTGGCGGAGTGGACAGATTGAAGAGCGAGGCGGGGTTTGTGGAGCGTCGGTGGTTGGTCGGAACGCGGCGGTGTTACACGGGGCGAGTGGGGGAGGGGCGAACTGGAAGTGAAGAGACATGACGCATCGGGGCGCGGACTGCGGGACTTGAGCGGGGAGGCCTGACACTTACATAGGAGTGTGCATCGTAGTCGCACAGAGCCCGCCTCCTATGAGGAAACGCAGGCGTTGGAGGTGGGGCGCGAGCGCCGAGGCGCGCGTCTTATTTTCTGCGGGTTTGGCGGCTCCACGGACAGCCGTCCCTCGAGCCCAGCGGCGTGCAGTTGTTAAGAACCTCCGTTCAGTTGGCGACCCATGGTGTTCAGACGTTCTAGTTGATTTATGTGAGACTTATGGTATATACAACGGGTTCGAAGTAGCTCATTTATTTAAATAATTTTTTATTTTATGTAAATGGACTATGTAATATATGTATTATTTATTTCTGCACACCTGCATCTCCGTGAGTTCCGGAATACTTGCCTTTTTATTTACAAAGCCTCGTTCAATTACGAATGAAGGTAGCAACCAGGGATTGGTGGTAAGATTTGATAATAACAAAAATTATAATTTTCCCTAATAGTGATAATTTTTATTGTCACTCAAGCTTTCTTTGACATGGGTTTGTTTGATCGTGTGTGAGAAGTCCCACTTATTAAGAATTGAAATTGTTTGTTTTATAAAGTAATAATTAATATAGTTATCTTCGAACTGTACAGACAACTGAACAACTGATGAGATTCACCATTTTACTATTTTGTTCTATTTAGTGAGTAAACAGCGAGTTAATGTTTTAGATGGGAAAATAACTATATTATATTTTCTTACTGTATATGCACCAGGAATGGATCTAGAGACAGATTAAGGTAAGAAGTATTACAAAATATTTATAATTCATCATTTGGCATTACTGGATTAGTATTAGTAGTATTATTAGTAGTGTTATTATTATTAGTAGTATTAGTATTATATGTATTAGTAGGTGCTAATAAATAATACAAATAATACATATTTACATTAACTCAAGAATTTTTTATTATCGTTTGTAACATATCATTTTACAGTTTTATGTGGATAAAATGAACATAATTTTTCTCACACTGTAGAAAACTTAAACACATTTTAATTTTTATATATTTTAAAGAACCAGCAATGTAGTAAGAATGACTTGCAATTGGCTTGTATATTTTTTATTAAGTTTAATTTACTTAAAGGTTATCCAAATCTTCTTCTACATTTCTGGATTATAGTAAGTGGGGAAAGTCAAATACAAATTTCAAGTTCATACAATACTGAATGTATTGTATTAATTTGACTGTAGTACTGAAAAATAGGTTTACCATATTAATGCAAACTGATTTAATTATGTACGTAATCCTGTTAATTTAGAAAACGTTATATGGTATTAAAATGCGTTTTATCAAATATTATATTAGACTAGATATGCATTGCAACTGCAATGCGCACATCTCGTTTACTCTTATTATTTGTGGCCAAATAAAGCCACCAGTCACACTACAAGGTAAAAGACAATAATAGTGCAAGAATAAAGGTACAGCAAGGTAATTCACACACGCCACAAAATTACGTATCAGTTCTCCTCTTATAATCTCATATCAAAGCTTATTAAATTAATAACAATTTTAGGAGATGACTGGAATCAAAATTGAATTAAATCTTTATTGAAAGATAATTTTCCAATAACTGGATATTGATAGATATGAATGATATAATTATAAATTATTAGTTTACTATTTTCTGTACAAATGGTTACTATTCCTAAAAAAATTCATAAAGAAATGTTTATATTATCTTTGTTTATCATAGATCTTGCAAACACTGTTTACATTCGCTTCTTTGATTGCAGCTCTTTTTGAGATTAATTGGTCACGGCGGATTTTCCCCAATTACATTGCGAATAGTATTAAATATTTGCTTGGATGTACTGTATCATTTCTTACTTTTTGGATTATTTACCGTGAGTGTTTAATGATTCATAAATTGAAAAACCCCCTATTAATAATACAACAAAAACAGTTGTTTCCCCTTAATGATATTAATGGATAGCACACTATGATTAACAAATAAAAACACATTGGATAAAAATTTACTTACCATCACTTACTAATTATATTACAAAACATTTTAATAACTGCTACCTTGCCTCAGTTCATAACAAACACAGGTCCACAGAGCGATGGAGTAAGAGGGCTCCATCTCTGAGTTCGATTCTCATATATCTCTTCCTGGTATATTGCCTCCCCCTCTCTCTCCCTCTTTAGTAATAAGTGGTGCATTAATTTGATCATGATTTCTTCTTCGAGAAAGGTTCCCTCCCACTTCCCTTCAACTTTCACATCTTACTAAATCCCCTACAGATCTTCAAGAGACCCTTTTAGGAATGCGCTGAATCTAGTCAGCTCCGTGTGTGGCGCGTCACAATTGCGAAAGTTGGTGATAGGTGTGAATTGCAACTTGGGAGTGCATTTCTTGACGGATGAAGCCCTATGGGATGTAGAAGTAGATGCATATGAGGGATGAGTATGTATATGGAGTGTATGGAATCGTGTGTATTTAAAGGCGTGCGAGTATGAAGGCGTGTGTGTATTCGTAAAATCGGATAATTGCCATCTGATAAAACGTCTTCAAGGCTTGCCTCAGAGTGGTTTTTGGCGACACTCAGTGGGCGGTGGGCGATCCCTTTGGTCAGCACCCTCGCTGCCGTTATCTATATAAACGCTACGGTGCTGTGGACGCCTTCGGGTCCTGAGGAAACGATACTATTTACTGATGACAAATGTACAAAAGTATTGCAACTCGACTCATGCAACTAACCAGTAAGCCAATCTCGGAAACTCTTCCAAACAATATAATACATCAACAAAAAAATCGCATCTCATTAGCATCACCCATCAACACATTAAGAAAAATGCAGCCTACATATATAAACAACAAAATATCACTTATCCATGCAGGCCTCACGCAATTCAAAATGATCTTTAGCGACATCAAAACTTCTACACAACTCTCACAAAACACCCACTAAATAAAAAATCTTATCAACTTCGGAGGCTCCGTACTCAAATGGATTTTTGGCACGACAAATTCTATTAATTTAAATACATTAAAGACCATTATCTCGACTCGCAAGCGAAACGAAAGAGAGTAGTATATTCAAAGCACAGTAGGTATTATAGACCAGAACAGACGACTAATTAAAAAAATAGCGACTGTCCAAAACTCCGTTACTTCCGCATTCACCAAACTTCAAGAATATCAATATTTTGAGAACACAATAATCGAAGACGCTTCGACGGTGATAAGTAAAAACTCTCATCGGTGTATAAGCGTAAACGACAAACTACTTTTCCTCTTTTGTGAACTCAGAAAAAAATATTGGAAATGAATATGGATTACGGGACACAATGAAGATAAATATAGCTCATATTTACTTCTCATCACACTAATTGTTGTATAGCCTTTGGTATATAGAAATATCAGTGTACGTAGAAACAAATATATGTATGTATTAATTCAGTATTTTCCAGTATTATTTTCTTTGATTATTTTATGAAAAACATGGCACTATCATACAGAATTGATTTGGCTATCTAAATCACGCTACTGTATAAAGCGTAATTCCGTAAACATTGTTCAAAATTCAATTAAAATGTGAATACACAACAATTGGAGAGTAAAGTTAACTTCGTGTTTTATATGTAGCTACTCTAATTACACTGATTTCTGTGTATATTTAATATGGTTATTGTATATTACATATGAAACCTGTAATACCTATAACAATCAGCACACGGGAGCTATTGCCGCAACGCGGCATAAGGATCCAATCTTCTTCTCGATGTGGGGGTGATGGCGCGTGGCCATAGGCAGCTGGCGCCCGCGAAAGCACAAAGACGTATCGTATGTGGTGTCGCGATATGGCATTACGGCCGCCTCGTGGCCCGCTGCCGCCGGTGGGTGGCCCAGCGATCCGAGGTAATAAAATGGCGACGGTTTCACGCCTCGCTCCCTCTTGACGTGTTACCCCAACGATGCCGCTGGCACCCGTTGCGCCGCCCACTCTCTAGAAGAAGGCTACGCTGCCGGGTGAGTCCAATAAACTACTATTAGAACTATATGTCTGTCTCACATTTTCCCTACACGAGTTGCTGGGGCCCTCCCTCTCCCCCTCATCTCGCGACAGTGTGTGCAAGCATGTATGTGTGTGTGTAGATACGTGTGTGGGCTGTGAGATTGAACTATTATGAACATTGTTTTCTGAAAAATTGTCTCGAAATACTATTAACCTAGAAATATGTTTCGAAATATTATTGTATGCAAATTTTTGCTTCGCAGAAACTACAAATTACAGTTCAATCTTTTGGTGTACAGAGTAAAATTTACACGTGTAAAATTGACACTGATTCTCAACTCAAACAACTTCTCAATTTAATTACTTCTCAATCTTGTAAATGAATTGTAAAATGATTCAAGAACCAATAGTCAATAAACCAGACTATAGAAAAGCAATCCCTTTTTACTTAACCACGCCGTTATCGGGACGTTACCTCACGACCCTACCTCTCACAGCCAGACGAGCCGGATGCCGGGAGGGTCGTGGATGTGAGTATAGAAGAAAAGTAGAGGCCTGAACGCGAAGGCCCAAAAGAGTTCCAGGTCGGAGTAAAGAGATTGTGAGATGAGAATCAAAAATTAGTAATAGGTATTAACATTTCGACACAATAGCACTTCGAGATCAGATTACTGATACCGTAGCTAGATCATTTGTTGAAATATCATTCTACCGTTATGGGATTTCTATCTGTTCGCTGACGGATAGAGAAGCACATTTTACTTCGGAATTAATGCAAAATAGTGCTCTCTCTTCTTCAAATAGTATCAATTCTTACAAACATCAATAGGAGATTGGAGAAAGCACATCAATCGTTTGCAGCCGCAATAGCACTATGTAGCTCACGGCCATTCGGATTGGAACGAGCAACTACATTTTGCGTTATTTGGGTACAGAAACATGAAACATCGAATTACTGGATTTGGTCCAGTCTTTTTGCTGGAAGGTAGAAATCTGGATATGCCTTGGGACAACATTCTGACCCCTTCGTCTGAAACTTTTGCGGATCAACTACTGTGCAGGGACGTGTTGCATCGCAGGATAAGAATGGCAAATGCACAGGTAGCCGAGTTTAACATTAAACAATTAGACTGGGAACGCAAAAAATCTAACAAAAATACCCCATTGAACATCACGCTAGGACAAATTGTAATATTACGGAACATTATGCTAGGCTGGGGCAGGAGCAGGAAACCAGTCCCGTGATGAATAGGTTTATATAAAGTCACATAATTCCATGTCCGGTCACTTTCGATATTGATGTGCACGAAAAATTATCGCACACCATAAAAATCTTCTTCCGTGGGAGACAGACACAAAGGTATCCACAAAGAGCGCAGTGGTACACACAATGGGGCTGTACGTCAATAAATTTTAGGCACTGGCGTGACCTGCCGTCACCTGCGTTAGCACCAAGATGTTCCAAAGGATAATGTGTGGTCGGGCGAGCTGCGACCCAGTGGCATGCGGGGGCCCCAGGTTGCTGAAACGGCCGGGACAGTGCCCTTCATTCTGGGTCGCAGGCCACCGTCATATAAGACATCACCCTGGAGCCGCGTAGTGGATGCTGTACATTGATATGCATGTGCCGGAACTGGATGTGAGCATACTTTCAGTACAAGAGCAAATCAGACAGTATGTAAATGTAAATCACGACATTGTGTTCCAAAAGAAAGGATAAAAGTTTTGCCAAAGGGTTTAGACAAAACTAGAATATTTCGGCACAATACGTACATACGCAAACATACAACATGATTTAATAGCTTTGATATCTTTATTGCGACAAAAGAAAGGAAACTAGAGGTCTCATTGACGCTTTGAGACAAGCGTTGCATTACATTCCAGTAATACCTATTGAAAAAATCAATAACTAGCATACCAGATGTCTGTATTGGGTGCTAGAACTAAGCGCATTCCAGGGTCTCCTACTACGCGAACGTTTTGGATATGTTAAAAACGCATAAAAAGAATAGCTTTCCAACTTCTCCAAGCAACTAAGGACCGAAACCGAAACACTCTTGTCGATGATGTCACTAATGAAACTGTGGCTACTGAAATTTTTCCTACTGTCACATATATGTGAAATTGAGTGATTTTTTTGCTGCCACATTCTCTCTTGCGTAAATTTCTCAAGTGGCGTGATCTACCCAACGTGACAGACCACCTCAGGCTGGCCGCTCTCCCGAAAGAGGCGGAGGGGAGTTTGGCAGTGGTTCGTCCGAGGACGGGGTACGAATCGGTTGAGCGACAAGGCAGGCTGAATTGAAATTATAAAGATGGTGTGGTCTGTGATGTTATAACTGTAATGAGGATTCCCATATCATTTCAAGTCTCAAGTAACTCAAATAGTTCCAGTTATTTAATAAACCTACATGAAAAAGTATTGTGTTGAGCGAGGCTCCTTGAAAACACCTCCTCCACATATCAAGACGGCAGCAACTATCGCAACTATCACTATCTAATAAAATCTACAAAAAATGTACGACGCCAGTTGTGAAGAAATGAGGGAGAACAATTTCTTTCAAATGCACCGAATGCTTTAGAGTCATATACTGAATAATCGAGAATGGTAGATGCGTAGCTTGCATAGCAGCTTCATCTTACCAATGAATGCGAATTTACCCGTCTCACAGATTAGACAGAAACATTGCACTTGTATTGAGTCATAAAATTTAGTTTTATCAACGTATGATATATTAGAGAAACAAGCTAAAATAATGTACAATCTAAACTAATATATATTTGCCTGCACTTTGCATTACACTTAGAGTACACAGAAAAAAGTGAAAATGGGAAAAGAAGAAGAAGCGTATGCACTATTTTAATTTTGCAGGGGACATTTGAGGACATATTAGCTTAATGAAAGACATACACGGTTTTGCTGAATACCCTTTGGCTCGTTCAAAAGACGAAAATAATTACTTCAAGTAGATCAAATGGCATAAGAGAACTGCAGGGAAGCACATACAAGTGTCAGTGGTGATCAGAAAAAGGGAATTAAATTATTATAGGAGTGTTGGAAAATTAGGACTTTCCAAAAGTAGATGGAATTTCGAAAGTAAAATACAATATTCCCTTCAGCGGAAAATCTCCAGGCGACAGCGGCGCTCAACACAAGCTTAGCAGACAGGTTCCGCACGTAATCCCGCGGCCCGCACGGTCGCTGTCACAAACGAAATTAAGTTATTTCATTGCCAATATGAGAACTTGAGATGAGGTATCTCATATCAAAAGTTTTTGGAATGTCTGATATGTACATCCTTCAGTGAAAAGGTCGCGATATAGCATTCCGGCCCTCGCGACTCGCTGCCGCCGGTGAGGGAGGCAGTTGTAACTTGCCGAGGACAGGTTATAAAAAGGCGAGGGTTTCACACCTCGCCCTCTGATGGGCTACCGCCTGTGACGCCCAAGGCACCCGACGTGTCGCCACCCGCTCTCAGGACGAAGGGTTCACTACCCGGGTAAGTATATTAACGGTACTCTGTTTCACATTCCCATGGGGTCCTCCCTCTCCCCCCACAACTCGCGACAAAAGCTCCGAGACATGGTGCTCAGCGCTAAAGTAGCGCGTGCCTCGGACCCCGCGCCCCGCCGCTGCCCGCTCGCCAACATGTCAACGACGCGCCAGGCGGAGGGGGAGGCGTGGCGGTGGCCGGGAACGAAGTGGGCATAGACGTGGACTGCGGTGTTGGGAGCGGCGAAAGCTACGTGAGGAAAGCATAAGACTAAGCATAAGACTAGCATAAGACTTTCCGTATGGCGAGTTACCGAAGAGGCGTGTAAGCTAGTTTCCCTACACATGTCTTAACGTCTCAACCCTGTTCGGTAATGATTTAAAAAGCCATTAGTTAATAAACCAGCCTAGAGAAAAACGCTCCGCTTTCATTTAACGACACGCCCCTCGCGACTTTCCTCTCGGTATTTCATGACCCTATATCTCATAGACAAGCGAGCCAGATCTCAATAGGGAAGTGGAGGTGGGTATAAGAGAATAGCGAGGCCTGAAAACGAATCCCCAAAAGAGTTACAGATGATTCAGATGACACAGTGACACAAGGAAGTATAATCAGGCCTACTAGTCGATCAAGATCAGACTCGATATAACGTTTCGTAATCACCCAGTCAACATTTCCGCAAAGAACATTCTACGTAAACTGATTGTAGAGTTGCACAAGTGTTTGTAGCTACAATGGATGTAGCAGATGCGACGGGTACGTGAGCATAAGGTAGCACAAATAAGGGTGAGCACAAATAAAAAACGAAAGAACATATGCTTTTATTAACCACGCGCCCCTCGGTTACTTTACCTCAGGATATTTCTCGAGACCTTTCATCTTGCATCCGGGAGTCGGGTGAGAAGATAAATTAAGCAATCAAGAAAATAACGACCTGTAAGCAAAGATCCAAAAGAGTTCCAGAGTGGAGGAAAGAGGAACTGTGGCGCAGATGCGATGAAGACGATGAGTTTGAATGGAATTTCGTGAATGAAAAGTTGTTTTCACGACCATGCTGACGTTTAGTTGTTTTTTTTATTTTCAATAAACTATTGTTAGCATTATTTTCAAACAGTATGAGAAATGGGAACAGAATCAACTACGAAAACCAGTTGAGAAACTTTGACATAGACGAGGCTCTCTTTTTCTCAGACGAATGGTAAAGACCCTACCACTCTTATATCTGCTTCAGGAACTACTACTACTACTACCAAAATATCTATGTTGACAAAATCGTACGCAGTTAAACGACGTAGAAGATATTTTTATTCAGTGTATTACTGTGTACAAAAAACACATTAATATCAACTTACTTAACTGGCCCATTTCGATAAACATTTTAGGTTCTGTTACCCGTCCGCGATGCGCTGCTTCGTTTTCTTATCATAATGTTTAAATCATTGTATGAGCGGACATCTCAGAACATGTAGAACGAGATAAAGTGAACATTTAAAACATACCACAAAAGGACCGGACTTTCTCGCGACGTGATTCCCAATTGTGTTCCTAATCATCGTTTTTTGTGAAAGCATCCAAGCGTTAAGAAAAGCTAGAGGCGGAATTGAGGAAATGCGCTTGCCATCTGTCACTGATGAAGATGTATAATTATTGTACATAGAAATATCTAGGCAAATTGCGTGTACACGGCAGAAACCCTGTCTATGCGTTCAGTGTGCCAATAGTCTTACAGGCGCTCTCTCAGCGACCGTCCTGTCGTAAAAATGAAATTGGAAATAGATTTAGTATACGCCATGGGTATGACTTGTTTGGATCACGTATGCCGCTAGATCCGCGGTGAAAACAGATGTTTGTGGCGAGAGTCGATGGCGCCTTGACTGCTGAGCAGCAAACAGCGTGGGTTGCGGTCATGAAGAATAGGCTTGGACGACGCAGCGTTCTTGCGCGCGACCCGTACATTCACACGCAGCTCGGATGACCGAGATCATATAACCCCTAGTTTATAGATCCCTAGGAACCTCCTCTCTTTAACTGTCGGCTTCTTATCGACCCGGTCGACCTGTCACAGACGACATCACGTCAGATTGATACTCTTATGAGCGCTGCAATATCAGGGATACAATGGAAAATGAGATTATTTCATTATACATGTTTAGTCTTTAGCTCTATTTACATCCCCATGATTAATGGATATTCTTAATGATATAATAAATAAGTTAAATGAAGTGTGTGTTTCTCAATCAAATGCCAATTCCACGGGTCCGTTACCTTGATTGTAAAATCTCACTTCTCTTATAAGCGGGTAGCGCAGCTCCTAATCATCAATTAGGCAACAATTAGCCAGACAAATGTCATGATTATTTATTGAGGCACATTACACTTCTGCCATCGCGAGAAAATCGAAATTAGGTTATTTTATTGCCAATATGACGACTTGAGCAAAAAATCTGCTAAAAGCACAATCGCTACTCAGGGAATTTCAACTGATAAAAAGGAAAGGAAATATGTGTCCCTCGCTACCTTTTCTTTATTTCATTTGGTAAGGAAAGAAGTCAGTGAACGAACTCTTGGATGTGCTGTAGAATGACATTCCAACTGGTAGTGCTGTCAAGGTGAATGTTATGAAATGTTAACTAACTTGTAACACTGTGACCGTTGATAAATGAGTAAGACACAATTTATTTTTAATCACACATTTTTACAAACATATTAAATGTAGTATGAATGTGTGAAGTGCATTCTGTTCACTAGGACTAGCTTCTGAGCATTGAATATAGCCCAGAAACTGAAAAATGAGGATGAAGTAATACTTCGTCAGTAGGGAAATTCATTTGTTGACTTATGATAATTTTTAAAAACTGTTCAGACCTGTGGATATATTATCAATGCGGCGTATTGAACAAAGTGGGATATTATTAGTATTTGCAGTTTTAAAGAGGATTGATGATTTTGCGCAAAGCTGATTTGACAGTGTTGTGGAAGGCATTGTGAAGATATTTTGTTTTCATCAGGAACAGGCTTAGGCACTTCCTGAGACGCAGTGGTTTTGCACAACAACCCGCACGAATGTCACGTGACCGGAGCTCATATAATCTCCATGGCCCTGTAGGTGGGCTCCCGACTTCGGTTGACACGACACCTGTGACTGTCAACACCTTTGCCAGCTGGGCCCTATGGCATCAGAGTGGAGAATGAGTTCAAAACGGCATAACACATCTTAGGGCCTTTAGCCCAATTATATTGCCACGTTTATTGAACATAATATTATAATAAATTAGTTAAGTGTGTATATTTCAATAAAAAGCCAAGACCATGGCCCCCTCACTTCGGTTGTAGATCCCACCTCTCATGAGCGAGTAGTCCAGCTCCCTATAAATTAGGTCACTATTACCCAGCTTGAGGCATGCCAAACAAAATAATATAAGCTTGAATGATGTGTCATGGACATGGGGTCGGCGGAGAAACGAAATTAAATGGTTTATTACACGTATGAGAACTCGAATTGAGGAAACGTATTTCAAAAGCTTTTGGTATGTCAGATACGCACGTCAGCGGACATGCGCTCAGCGCTAACTCAGCTCGTGCCAAGCGCCCCGTACCGGGTGCTTAGCTCCAGCCCGGTCGCAACATCCCAATGAAAAAAGCGCGCGAGCTTCCCACGCTAAGAAAGATGTGTGGAAGGATGGAGCTGAAGCTAAGCAAGGGAGGGTGAGAGGAGGAGACGTGGTAGTGACCGGGTGCAGAGGACAAGGACTTGGACGGGAGTAAAGAAGACATATTTGCCTGAAAGCGAAGGCCCAAGAGATAGTCCAAATGGTCCAGACGAACTGTGACAGATGATACAGCCAACTGAAGCAATTGACAGCTACCATGTTGCATGAGGAAGTTGATACAAGATTTGTCGCGATGTGGTGCGGTCGCCAGATGGTGGCCCAGTTGACACTTGCCGACGTCGGTGGTTTGAGGTTATTAAAAGGCGAGGGTTTCGCACTTCGCCCGCTATTATTTCGTTACCTGTGATGCCGAAGGCCTTGTCGCGCCGCCACCCATCCTGGAAGAAGGCTTCGCTTCGTGGTAAGACAGAACAATTCCCATTAACTATATTTCTGTTTCACTTTCCTCTGCACGAATTTCTGGGTCCTCCCTCCCTCCAGTAATTTGCGACAATTAAATGAATACTTTATTTGTTTCAAAAGCAAATATGTTAGTTTGTCTTTAACACACTTCCTTAAATGCGCAGATGATGCAGTGGGATGACGCAGTGGGATATATATAATAAAGTATGTTCCATTAGTTGTGAGACTGGGCAATATTGCTGATAAGTGGGTCGTTGTAATCTCCCGATTAATTGCAAATAGCTCAGGCAATTGAAAACTCTTTTACATTTGGCTCCTCCTGCATCACTTAATACACATCTTGCACACTAATTCACGCGCTGATTCAAAAGTCGGAACGGCCGAGAGGAGTTTCAAAGAGCTCTGAAAAGGAACCCGGGTCGGAAGGAAGCCATAAAGATCCAATTGAAGAAGCTATACTGGCTTGTGAGAAGATGATTACCCTACCGCAGAGAAAGGGATCACAATAAATGCAGCTGACAAAAATGTCATTGTATAAACTGATGCAATGCTTTATAATTATGTCACAAACGACGAATACCAGAAAAGACTTGACAAAAGCCAAGTGGATACCTATCAAACCATACACGGAAACATTGAAACAATGGTCTTTACCAACACGTTCCAGCGGTAACAATAGCAGCCATCCCAAAATCCGCAGCTATTTTGAAGGTGGAGAGGAAAGGAGTGTGGCGAGCTTCTATTGCAACATCGAATTATGATCAGACTACTACCAATGTGGTCGGGATAGTTGCAACCTGGTTTCGAGGATTGGGGCCTCAGGTTACTGGAAGAGCTGCCACAACCCCTGCATTCTGGGTATCGCAGGCCACCCTCATATAAGGCACCACCCTTTCCATGCGATCCACTCTCTCTCTCTCTCTCCCTCTCTCTTTCAGAGCCCTGTAGCTGCACGTTACTCTGACCCGACTCTTGGGTGCGGTTACACTACTCAAGGGTGGGCCATCTCCAGTCGCCATGCCAGGTACTTTACGCCAGATATGCATATTATTTGTGGCCATACCACAAGCACCCTCCTGTCTGGCGTTCGATAGAACAGAACGCGACGACACCATGGCGAGTAGCGTGCAACGACGCAAACAGTCCTGCTTCGACCTCTAAAAAGCGCTGCCGAATGCAAGCGAGGCCTTGGATATATACGGGCCCGGTGGAGCCAGCGGACACAGAGAAGTGTGCCAGCCAACTGAGGAGAAGTGAGGCAGAGATGGAGGCAGACGTGAGGCAGAGGCACACATGACGAAGTCAGTGAAGTGCACACGGTACATCAAGGGCCCTCTGGATGATGACGCGCTCGCAAAGCCCAGCCGCCGCTGTTGCTACCGGAGCACCTGATCGAATGAGTTATAGAGTAAGAGGACGCATCTCTGAGTTTGACTCCCGTATATCTCCTCATTCGGTATTTCGCCTCTTCTCCTCGCTCTCGATCTCTCTCTATTTCTGTCTCTTTCCTCCCTCTTTAGTAATAAATGGCGAATTAAATGGAGAATAAATGGAGCCCTTATATAAGACACTGCCCTTGAGTTGCTAACCATTCTGTGTGACGTTGACGCTCTGGACAGTTCGTCCGAGCTCGCCCTCTCGGACGCTCTCTGTTCCCTCTGTCGCCGTACGTCTTTGCTTCTCAAAGATGAGACCTTGCCACGTCATGTAATATACCATTAGATGCGTATCATTTGTGGTCATGCCACATACATCCTCCTCTTCTCCCTTGTGTCGCGTATCGATAGCCCGCACGTGACGATATTTGGTGTCCGGTGTGGGCTCCGCGACACACACGATGAGTAAATCAGTATCAGGGTGCGTCGAGAACAATAAGGGGATGCGATATGTGCCCAACGTGGGTGTCTGGATATTGTGGCTTCACGTTTGAAGCTAACAAAATTGGGGGCTAGATTCAGAATTTTTTTGTTATTTTTTCCTCTGCCTAATTTGTTGGTTCTCCCGGACCAAACTGAATAGTCAAGCGTGGGATCAGAGGGGTTTTCCCCGGATATAAACATTATAGAAAGGGAAAACAACCGGGGAATGTCCACTTAGCGCACCAGGGCACTTTGTTTAATTGGATACCCATTTTAATGCGAGTGACTCTTGTGTGTGTGTGTGTGTGTGTGTGTGTAAACACCTCCTTGAGCGGCCTTCTTGGATTTTACATAGCACTTGCCACAATAAGGTGCAAAGGCCTAAGAAACGATATGGTGTATGGTGTTGTGGCGAGATATCGTAGTCCTTGCAGGGAGATCGCCGGCACCATCTCCAATGAACCTACCGATGCACTGAAGAGACAAAGACAGAAAAGGAAGGCTAAAAACAGTCCTCTTAGTTTTAAGATGGACTGGTGCAGTGAGGACAATGTTGGCAAATTCAGATCTTTCTAAAGATCTTATTAAAGGTACACAGAGGAACGGGCTACAAAGAGCGAACGCGATCAAGACGAGGAGAATGAACTCGTTAATCATTCGTGAGGAAGCTCACTCCTCGTCATACATCGGGCCCCGCCCGAGGACGTTGAACTGTCTCCGTCCGTTCAATTTGAAATAACATCACATCGTGCCTAACCTGCCGGAACTGAAACAACTTAATCTGACACGGAGACAGCGATAACCTTTCAGCCAAGAAGTATAGTATTATAGTATAATCTGTATCTCAGTTGAGTACGCGTACATCAGTTGCGACCTAAGAATCGGATACAGTGATGGAGATCAGTAGTGGGATTCTGAAAGGAGATACACTGTTGTAATGGGAATACGCAACTTCCCCCCTCACCCCTCTGGTGTCCTGCCTGACAAGCCTAATGAAATTAGGAATATCATGCTGCAGACAGATCCAGATGAATTTTATAAGATTCCAAATCGAATAATGCTACTTTGTAGATTTCAAGAACAAAGATATCGAAATACTGCACTGATATTTTTAGTTTCGAAAATGGTCCCCGTGGGTAGCGCAATCAGGTTCCTTAAAATTGAAGCCGCATTAAAAATGCTATTAATGTCCGATGCCTGCCTATTACACCTGTTCAATTAATGCGTTACCTGATGGCTCTCCACAAGAGCAAATCTTTGGATCAAAATTATACGAAATTATAGTTCTTACGAAAAATACAAGAAAATGTAGGAAGTCTTATTCACTGCTTCGGGGCCCAGTACCCACAATGCTACCGCGAAGTATATGGTTAATTTGTATATACACGCAAACACAGCTACTGCACGCCTCTCACTTATGAAATTACGGGAATGTGCCTTTACGCATGCAGTCCTTTCTTTTAGTGTTTGAGATTGCTTGCTGGCGGATTATGCGGCGGCCACGGTATGGCGGATCCGCAAGTAAGTCCGTACCTGGCCGTCGCCAAAGCCAACTGTGAAGGCCATGCATTGCATCGGCGTTCTGCCTCGTCTAAAAGAGGAGCTATGCAGCTCCTCTTTTTCCTGTTTGTAGCTGCGTTTGTATGTAAATATTGTACATAATTTTACTAACAACTTTTTCTTTTGCTATTTGTAGATGTGTTATGTTTCGCTGGTAATAGTCCCAGTCCGCACCAGGGACGGTAACTTTACTAAAGGGAAGTCACGGCGGCTAAGAAGTGGGAAATACAATAATTGTGTATGTATAAAGCATAAAACGTGGAGGTGAGCAGAAACGGCATGTGTAGTTATTTGTTTTACAATTTAAAATGAAATGAAGTAGTTGCAAGGCGATCTAGGTGTCGGGGAAGGAGCATTGCCCTACCTCGCCACGCCACATGCTGGATGGTAAAGTAATATGTACAAATAAAAAACGCATAAATACTATTCTTTACATTTGCATATTACATCTGAAGATCCTTGATGAATATGGTTTGTTCCCGTATTATTCTAAATAAACTCGTGTTAATCTCAATTCCACTTGCTGTCAAACGCGTGTTGCTCCACGAAGTGTAAAACATGTTCCTTTTGGGGACACAATAACTGGCGCCAATCGCGATTCTTCGATCACACGATTTATCGATGTGAAATGTATTTTCTAATTGCATAGAAGATCCTTATTGGCAAGAGGTGTTTTAAGCATTTGTTAAGTACCAATTGTTGTAATGAATTTTCCAATATGCAGCGAGTGTTAATATAATTTCATATTTTTCCCCTTTCAAGAAAATGTTTATTGGCATCTCTCACAGTCCTCGATCACGCCGTCTCTCCTCACATGTTTGCCATCTCGCAGATTGTCGGGTGACCGTTGACTGAATGTATGGCAATAAGCAATAAATTTACTGAAAAAACTTCATACACTGTGTCCGTGATCCTTCTTGGTCCACGTAGATTCTCTAAATAAGAGCTTTTGTAGAGAGGAAATGGAACAATCTTCTATGTCAATGCCGCGGTGAGCCATAAATCGTGTAGAAAGCAGCTTAAGAAACAGGGGGGAAGGTTAATCTGTTAAATAGAATTAGATAACATGTGAATGGATAAGGTGTCTGGTGTGTGAATGGATAAGTTTCCCTTCTGTTTATTGCGCAACAAAATTATTTATAGTCAGTAAATCTGAAATCATTAAACTACAGGTTATCAACATAGAGTTATGATGGTGATTTTCCAAATGCAATCGATTCACTCAAGAGCTGAAAATGTTACATATTTAGAATATATATATATATATCAATAATGTACTAGTATGTCAGAGAATATATTGTAAGCTTCTAATTTCTATTCGCCTATTAATTAAACAGCAAATATAATATTTTAGAAACAATGCACATGAAGGAAATTGCAAAATTATTTATTGGGAATTATTTATTGGGCTCTATGTGTATGAGCTCTTCGGGCCATGTAGGCACCGGAGGCGCAGTGCACGGGTGCTTGTGTCACAACTCGCTGACGACTCAGCAGCTAAGGAAAGTTACCTTTGCAGATTAAACATTGTGACAAAATGAGGGAATTTGAGAGAAATATTACGATATCTGTGAAAAAGGACGATTAACAATGCACTAAGTTAATTGTGAAATGTGTCGAAATAGTCGAGAAGGTAAAATACTCGAAAATCAAATCAATCAATTTTCAGGAATCATCATCACTCCGCGGAGTCTGATCGACATTAGAAGCACCCCAGTGCAAGTGGTCTGCTACTCGAGTCACAAATGTTCGCCCTCGGGGCGTGATGATGCAACTGTCACGGCCATGGGGTCGATGGAGAATTAAATTATAAAAATGAGCTAACTTATTCCCGTTCTGAAAAGCATGTCAGATTCGGCGAAGTCCGGCGAAGCCAGTGGAAAAGTTTCAAGACAGGCGCAGCACTTACTCAGCGCGCGCCTCTGGCCCCGCACCAGCCAGCGAGCAGGCGCGTCAGCTGCCCACGCAGGAACAGGCGTGTGGAAGGATGAGGAAGGAGGGATGAGAGGAGAAGACGAGGTTCTGGAAGGGCGCGCGAAGTTCGGAGATTTGTACGAGAGCGGGCAGAGAGACCAGACTGGAGGCGAGGCAGGAGCGACGCGGGAAAACCATGAGGTGGGCAATCGGTGTGGTAAGTTGGTGCCAGGGCTAGCAAGTCTAGTTTTCCACCATGCAAGTCTTGTAGACCAACCTAATCAAATTTGACTGGAGTCAAAGTAAAGTATAGTCAAATTCAGATCTAAAGATGTAACGACTTAGAGTTAATAAACCAGCGTAGAGGAAAGTTATTCTCTTTCATTTGACCACACGCTCCACGCGACGTTACCTGGAGTGAGTCACGACCCCTCCTGTCATAGTCAAGCGAACCAGGAGCCGGGTGTGAAGAGGAGGTAAGTTGATGCAGAAGATCATACTGTGAGACAATATTACAAATGTATAATGATTATTCAAATCGACTAAATAGCAATAATATGTTTATGTATACATATTGCATGGGAATAAAATTCCTATGGAAGATTAGAAATATTTTCATATAATTAATTGTTCATGTAGTTATTGTTGTATATTTTATGTGTTGATTTAGAGATCATTTCTTTTGTGTACATACTACTAATTCAATTGTTTGCTATTCTTTAAATAACTGTTATCATTATGTCGGTATAACCTCCCAGACCCAGAAGATACCCATCAAGAACAATCCCTCCAAACTTTGAACATTTCGCCATCTGTCTGATAGAAAAAGTCTCCAAAGGGCATCGTTTTTCTGAACGGTGACGGACCATGTAGTAAATGGCAATGGCAGCACCTCGCCTCCCAGAGACACTCGAAAATGTATACGCTGGCCGGTCCATGCCGGTTCATAGCCGAAGAAGACTGCCCGAGAACATCATGGTAGGGCAAATTGTGATATTACGCAACATAATGCCAGGCCGGGCAGGAGCAGAAAACCAGTCCTGAGATGGATAGGTTTATATAGTCACAGAATTTGAGGTCCGGTCACTTGCGACATTGAACCTATCCACGAGACAGGAAAAAAATATCGGGTACCATAAAAATATTCTTCCGTCGGAGACAGACCCAAAGAGCCCAGTGGTACAAATAACGGGACCGTACGTCTGGAAAATTTAGGCACGGGCGACGACCTGCCGTCACCTGCGTTAGCACCAAAATGTTCCAAAGGATAATGTGTAGTCGGGCGAGCTACGACCTAGTTTCGTGCGGGGGGCCCAGGTTGCTGAGAAACAGCTGAGACACACAGCTTGCATTCTGGGTAGCAGGGTGCCCTCATATAAGGCACCACTCTTGCGCCGCGAGTCCTGTCTCGTTTTTGGTTTGTCTCAGCTGTCACGGCACGTCACTCTGCCTCGACTCGTGCGGACGGCACGCTGCTTCAGAGTGGTACCTCCTCGTCATGTCAGGTAGTATCCTTTTGACAAGCTATGCGAATTAATGTGGCCATATCCACCTTCCGTTCCCTCCCCATCGCGCATTGCGATAGTGTGAACGCGACATCAGATGTCTGGTATGGGGTGGTGATCTCGACTAAAAAGGGATGGTAATCTGGGCCCCGAAAGGAATGACGGGTTCTAATCTCACAATGGATAGACCTTCAGTAGCAATGCGAGAGAAAGTGAACCTGGATAATATAACGGACTTCCAAAATTAATATTTTTATTCCACTTTATATTCATTTTTTTCGCACAGGATTGATTAAGCAGTAGCATGGCGCACTGAGGCCGTCAACAGTTATCCTTGCCCTAGGGAACTGGGCAAAGCAAGAGCCTCATGGATTTGGTACCCCCTGTATTTACAATTGAAAGCAGTCTCTCGGGAAATGCGCGATTCCAACAAGGTCGACATCAGCAAGTTTAGTCGAGCGACTGTGCAAGGAGCACGAGCTTCCAGTCGGATTCGGCCCTCATTCCCTGCGGGACAGCCGCCTGCATCCGATGAGGCAGCGGTTCACGCGTTGCACAGCGACATCTGTTCGCCTCAACTCTTGAATGGGAAAAACACAGAAACAGGAAAGTTGCTTCAGCTTATGCCCTGACGCTCACCTCCTCCTCCTCCTCCGCTGTCTGAACGTGACAACTACGGCTGTCTTGAAAGAAGTCACAGACTCGCGGTTGCCAAATTGCCAGAACAAAAATAGGTGCTATCAGTCATGGGTTGCAAATTAATATAAAAACCCGGTATGCATTATGCGGACAGGTAGTTATTAGTAAAGTGGAACCCGATCAGGTCCTCAAGAATGTAATGTACTAATTTGTAACAATATGGAAGAATTTACTGACTGAATGGTAATCAAAGAGCCTGAAATGAATGTAAGTGCGAAGCCCAGAGATGGTTACGTCATTGAAACATATGCCATTTCGTTTATGTAGCGAATTTGATGGCAAATCTAGACTTGGCGTATTATGCGATGATCATGATTACAAAGTAAATAGACAAAGATTTAAATCCGAATGCAATAAAGCACATGGCCAGGAAATGCGTACTTTTTTATTTAACCAGAATCATCCCTCGTTATCTTCTTCTATATTGCGTTTCCTACATGCGAACACTACGACGACAGCATTTAGTCAGCCTGTACTCCAGAAAACGGTAAATTGCTTGATGGAATAACGGTAGCAGAAGTATAAAGTGATCCTAATATCAACTCAACTTTTCGTGGTATCAAAGACATGTACTCCAGTTCATTTAGGATTCAAGTATTCAATTTAATAATAGATAGCATGGACTTCTGTCGAAAACTGCCGGTGGATAGATAAGCTTCCACACTTCCCTTCCCGGCGCGGACGGCAGTTCAGGGTACGACACAGTCGCACAGCAACAACTACTTGTGTGAACACATGTTTTACACTGTACAGTTTCCTTTCAATGAGTGGCCTCAAAATGGACACAAAATTATGTTCAGTTAATACATATTTTTGCATGTGTAATATTACCTTGCAGAAAACTGGATGAAGAAATAGAGGCGATTTGCACGCACTGTGTGAAATTTGGATTAAAATATTTCGTTTCAATATATCATGTAGAACAATATACGAGAAATGGAATACCACATCGCATATACGCCGTTCCCGTGCATGTAATTATGCGTTATGTTCTAAATTTATAAAAATCTTTTCGAAACATCTCGAAATTGATATTGCGTGATTTGCGTTTACTGTCCTAGATACGGTTGCAATGGGTTATGCATGAAAATACAACCCCAAGAAATATGAGAGTTTAACATTAAACACTAGCCTAATTTTATTTAACCTAACGAAAAAACTCGTTATCAATCACGGCATGGCGATATCAATGAATCAGGTCCTTCACGGTGCCCGCAGAAGCACTGTGGATCAAATTGTTCACGTGCTTAATTTTTCCATATAAGAAGCGTCCAATCTTATCATCCACGTTGTTGTACGTGTGAAAGTGGATAGAAATAATACGTATAAACAGGGATTAAAATTTTCAAACGTAATTAAAAAATCATATTTAACGTATCCAATTAGCGACACTTTTTAAAATCAGTATTTTAAATTGATATTGATTGTGAATGGAAAAAGTTACGTCTTACTAAAAGACTTCAAAATACATTGAGCTTTTAAACAGAAAAGTTCAAATTCTTCAAATACAGGAACAAATAATAAATATTTCAAGTTTAAGGAACCATGGAAGAACTGAGACTATTTGTATGAGGCAAGGTAACATTGTTTTTTCTCGCGTAATATACTATTAATGCTTTTTTGCATTTGTTCAGTAATACAAATCTTGTATAACTATTCTTGGCTTTCATACAACTTGTTACTAAAAATACTAATACAATACATCAAGCACTCACGGTATTGAAATGCCTTGCTTGTCCGAATCAGTAAACAAATAATTCAAAATTCTAGTTGTTTCTACCTTTATTTTTCTTAATGCAACTTCTGGTAGCGTTGGTGCAATAAGTTATTGTTGTTGTAAAGTTCTCTGTCCGTCGAATTTTCTTCTTAACAGGTGATCGGTGCCAACCGTTAGGATTACTTGATGGAATTTATTGTTGTCCTCGTTCGGAATAACTGCTGACAAACAAGTTCATAAGATAGACATTCTTAATCAATCTGTTACGAATACCATCTAGTTTGCCAAATTACATTGTTGTCGGCGAACACCAGTGTGCAAGCCGTGTTGCATGGCAATGAGTGGCAAATGTCACAGGTTTTACAAGCGATTACAAGAGATAAGTAACGTTACTAGAGGTAACCTTTCCTATCACATGTTCCCCTGTATGTATTTTAATATCTATGTCAATTTACCTCTTCGGCGCAGTTGCTTCACTGATGTCATTAGTTAAAGGACAAATATTGCTTTTTTAACAGAAAATATATCCTGTTATTATAATTTTTCTGACACGGAATTCCCGTATCATGTAAAACCTCTGCATAGTAACGACCATTTCTACAAGACATATCTATTTTCCTGTAACATAAATATTTCAGTTGGAAAAAGAGAAAGAAGGAGACCTAGAATAAAACTTTTTGGACAGCTTCAAGTCGAATTACAATTCAAAAGCTATGCAGAGATGAAGAGGATAGCGGAGGGCAGAATGGCATGGCGGCAGCGTCAAGGGCTTTAGGATGAAAATGATGATGATAAATATATCTGCTAATTGTAAGCGGATTGTATTTTCATACTTTTATTGTTAACAGCGTTTTTAAAAAAATTGCATTTATATTCATCAAAATAATCTGTCCTATGATCACCAGGTAAACATAATTTGAAATTGTTTCTGTCCTTAAGACTAAATCAATATTATCTATTGTTATTTATTTTTGGCGTTATATAAAAGGAAATTAGCAGTCGCACTACCAAAACCGTACTCATTAAATGCATACAGAAACATAGTTTCTTTACCTTTTTAGCCAAAACGTTCTTAGAAAAGCGTTCAAAATCGTTATCAAAAATTAAAATTTAAAATGTTTTTTAAAAAGCTTTTTTCTTGGATTTTTTTACTATCTGGCATGGCCAAAAGAATTCGTAGCCGCAGTGCTGAACAGAACATACCTTGGATGTGAGACATGGTTTTAGCGCTGAGGTGACGTACCAGTACCACTGCCCAGGCCGCCCGACTAGCTGAATGGCAGCAACAGCACGTGGGCGATTTCAATTTGACCCGCATCGAGCTGATGAAGTCGAATTTTTTAACTGAATCTGTAATACATATTCCATTTCCAGATTTACGTATTGTCTGCATTCAATGTACTCTAGATCAGGGCGCTAAATTTGATGAGAAAGAAAATAAAATATTAAATAGTATTGCTGATACATTTATTAACTTCTAATACATTAATATTGACACGGTTATTGAAATAGAAATATATTTATTTTAAAACGTTCACTAGACACAAATCGACAGATTTTGTATCCTTACATTAATTTCAATAGACAATAAAAATTAAGATAACTTAGCACAGTCAAACATATCCATTAACATGGTGTTGATTAGAGTATTACAAAGCATTTTACATTTGAAATCGTGACTGCATTTTTTACTTGATAACGTGCCTGATTTGTCCGAGTGGCGCTCATAAAAATGTAACTGTTACTACACATGTAAATAGAAGAAAAATGATTCAAAACCTGGTTAAAAAGGATAAAGACGAAAGACATTCAGAAAAACAAAAAGAATGATTAAAAAAACTCTTGCGATTTCATAAAATATGACATGTTTTGAAAGAGACGACAGTTGTATATTTTGAATATAAAGTGTAAATATTAAGCTTTACTATTTTATTATAAAATGTTTCCATTTCACCAACTAGTTTTCTTAATTTGTCTCTTAAGTCATGTATTTCCAATTCATGGGTACAGTAACCCTGTTTGATGGGATACTTGACCATTTTGCAGGTCTCAATATTTTAGAACTTTGAATTTTAAAATATCAAATCCATATCTCTACAGATACCATTGACTATATTATCGCTTATACGAAGTAATACGTAGTAATACTGTATAGTAGTAATACTGTCATTAATTGTTCATTCATTGCTTAATTGTGATTATCTCATAAACTGTTGTAGAAAACATGGAACTCGTGTAGGAAAAACTTTTTTTGACAAAAATAATCATAAAAATTGCTCATCTTTTATATTATTTTAAACAATACAGGGTAAAGTTTTTCAGATGATCGTATTTCGAGAGGTAATTGTAATGTAGTATATGAAAATGTTGCACTATATTTCGTAAACTGTGACATAGTTTTTGCGATTAGGTTTTAAAATCTTCAATAAACCCTTATTAGTTACTGAAGTACGACATATTTGCGCCAAAATTGTCCGCACTTAACTTTCACTATCACTTTCAATTAGTGTTTTGGCCCCATATGAGATAAGTAAAGCGTACAGATTCACTTATTTGCAACGTGTCATTAGGAAAAAGTATCTAAATATTGCACCTAGCAATCGGTACTACCTGTTTCTCATGGACGCTTCGTTGAAAATATTGGATAAAGTAACTACACTTTCGAATTCTTTCGAATTGATGAACCGGTAAGACTAAACACACCCAAAAAAACTATGATCACCAACACGATGATCAAAAGTTGATCACAAGACGTTTCGAGCGAAACGAGGGAGCGAGAATGTAATGCTGTCGAAACTTGACTCACCTTTTCCCCAGAAATCGCGGGCTCGAATATCTTCCCATGGCAATCGCGAAGCGTTGGCGAGCTCTTGACGACCAAAGCGCAGGAGCAGCCTGCTTCGGGGGCGCACGTGGTGTGGCTTCGTGCGTCGGCCAGGCAGCGCGGGGTGCGAGTGGGGCGGAGGCGTCTGCGCGTTGGCGACGGGAGCTCCGCAAGCGCCCAGGCAACGCGCCACGTAAACCTCGCCCTCCCCCCTGCCCTCTCCCTCGCCCACACCCTCCTCGCCGGTCAGCGTCTCGTCCTGCGCGCTTCCGGTGACCCTGAACGCCGCGCGGGAATGCAGCGCGTGCGAAACGCGACTACCTCCCCACCCGCCCACTCGGTCATCCACCCAACACACCCTCCCGACTAACTGCGCCCTGCCCGCGCCTCCCTCCACCCTCCTCAGGACTCCCATCCAGCCATTCGATAACTCACCCGTTCTCACCCCCCTACCCGCCACGCTCTATCTACGCCTACCCACCCAACCGACGGGCGCGCCAACCAACCAACCCGCCCATCGTACACGCTCCCCCATCCAAACAACCGCCCACCAATCCTCTCTCCCATCAAACGCTTCCAAACCCTCTCGCCCACTCAACCGCCCTCCCACGACCTCGCCCACTCATACAACATCGCACACCCACACAACCACCTGCCCGCCTGCTCGTCGACCACATCCAGTCACCCACCACCCCACGGAAATTCCTCCCTTTTCGGGCCAGCTCGCTTCCGTATTTGTTGCCCCTTCCCCCTCGCCGCGCCTTCGCCGGCGGCGCGCCACCCAGCGCTTGCGTTGCGAACGCGCTCGCGCTCGCGGCTTTGGCGCCCGCTGCGTTGGTTACGGGCAGTCGCTGCACGAAAAAGGCTGCTCACGCCCGGCGCCGCCCCTCCCCACCCTTTCTCCGCTCCGCCCCCACCCCCCGCTCTGCCAAGCCAGCGCTCGCCGCGATGGGCCACGCCGGTGCTCCGCAATGGTCGGTACCGGACGCTTCAACGCCTCAGCAATATTCATCTTCCTCTTCGTATTAATTTTTTCTTCGCGTTGAGGCCAGCAAGGACATCTGTCCTGTTTCTGTTCCTCCCCTTCGGCTGTTTTCTTTTTCTCCATTTTCAATACTTATTCATTGTTTCTATATATTTGATTCTTTCTCAGCTCCGCTCGCAACATTGAATATTCATTGAGTTTCATTTTTCATTTAATGCTTTCCATTATTGTTAATACTAATATTCTTCTATTTTTAATCTAGTTACCAACCTCTAAAGAGTTAGGCTTAACAGGCTTTTATTTGTTATTTGTTTATCGTGCAAAAACACGTGTATTTGACGTACGGAGAAAAGTATAACCCACTTACGTTTTCGTGAGCTCCAGACACTCCACCCCTCCCATAAAAGAAAGGTGAATGGTAAGTATCAAGGAAACTGGACGAGTAAACTGATCGAGAGAGGGGGCATTTACGCAGAAGCTGAGATACATTAATTAATACATTAATAACAACGAGGCACATTTAGTGTTTTACTGTTACTTGTTATTTCCACCTTTTTTAGTCTGTCATAATCAATCATGATTATGTGATGGATTCGGGTCCATATTTTTTTGACAGACATTTTTCTGTAATGTTAATTTATTCTATATTCATGCGCAACAGTTTCGAGGATTATCTGCATCATCTGGCTGTAAAATTGAATGTCGAAATTTTATATTACAAATTTGAAATTATTTACAATACAATATTAAAATTCAGACATTATAACAGGAAAGAATTTACCAGACAATATTGTAAGCGCTCATGCGTCTGGTAAAATTAATTGGAAACGTCATATAATGAGTATCAAATAAAGGAAGGAGCTAAATGTGAAAATGTTAGTACCTGCAGAAGCCGTTGAACTGAGACCTACATGTCGATCGTTGGGTTATAGGATTTAACTATCATAAATAATTTCGAATTCTCTTTGACGTTTCCATGGTTTTCTCTATTCTACCATTAGGCCAACGCCGTATGTAAGAGTTTTACTCGTGATTAGCAATAAACTTATTTCATTTAGTAATCATTTTGTTCAATTCTGTGATACCGTGAGAAATTTGAACATTTTTCCTTGGTCAAATCGTAAGTCACTGTGCTATGACAACCTTGGTATTCGCAATGTTGACGTACGCGTTATGCATGCTTAGTGAGGGTCAATAAATAAATGAATATATTAATTAAATATTATTATACATAATGAATCAATATTTATCTCTAGTATTAATTTGACCGAGTTATTGTTATATCAATGGTACCAACCTAAGAACAATTATTTTAATACTCACTACGATGTAATATATTTCTTTTACTCCAGAAATAACGCACTTCACAATTAAGTTTAAGATGTTCATTGCATGAAAATGGAGAACTTCCTAAATATTGTTAACGAATCTGATAAATCTTGATTATCAGTTATTACGTTCATTACCTGGTAAGTTACTCGTGAAAAATATGCTTAAAGTCTTCACTTAAAAATGAGTTAACCTGAATTTTGTAGGTGAAATGGTGTTATCGCGAGGAACTCTGATTTTGTTTCGATATTAAATGTAGGATGTTATGAGAATAGACATGGGAAAGTTTTCAAAGAGGCATTCTTGATGTTTAGCTTCTTAAATTTAAAGCATCTGCAAGTTCTAATGTAATTAGATTTGTTTAACACTCTTCAAAGTTTGTTAACTGCCTTGTTACTGCTTCTCGCACCAAAATTAAATGAAGTATGGACAATTAATTTCTCCACCACGGTGCCTCGAAAGGTAAACTGTTTCCGTTTACAAAACCACAGCTTGTTTGCAAATTAATTATCAAAAATATTTGACTTGCATTTTTATTTCGAATGTATTGATTTTACACACGGAAGCAAGAAGTTTATTTTCCGTAAATAATATAATTACAAACAACGTAAGGAATGTAAAATTATATATCTTTATTTTGAAATTTTGCTTAGTTGCAGCAATTTATACAGTAATGTTTGACAATTTTACAAGTCAAAAAAGAACAATATTTATTCAGCATTCATAACAATTGTAACGCTTTAGTTACTAATATTCTATTGTATAATAAAAGACAAACTGTGAGTGTAAGAAGTATTTCAGCTTCGAGTAAAATGACACTATTCTCAATATTTGTCTCAGTTTCCCTTGATCCATTGACCCCTCTGATCTGATTTCTTGCTTTGTTCTTTATACAAAAGTAGCTTCACTTATAGCATTTTTTTAACTGCCTACCACCGCTCCGGGTCCTACGTGTTGAGCGCTTGGCGGAAGGATATGAAGACAATTGCCATGCCCGCTGCTATTGCGAAGCTCAAAGTCACCCGGTGAGCGGCGCCTATACTCCGATTTCAACTTAGTGGCACTTCAGGTCACATGCCGGAAGGAGAGGGGCGCATCGGCATCCAATCGGAGTTCAAACATCAAACATTTAAGTCGTCTTGAAGAAGCTTTAGATTGGAAGGCAATGCCTCTCTCTCCGTCCAGCTCGTGACGTTGAAGTACCACTATGTTTAAATCAGACAAAAACTGTCGGCCGCGTTGCACACGACGCCCAGCCAATCGTAACGAATTTGGGGCGTTTGTAAATACGCATGAAGACTAAGGAGCAAAGACATCTATACCTTTACATGTATAAATAAAAGGGAATGTGCGAATGTCACATGTATACGTAAAAACAACTCTACCGATTACGCTGAGTTATCTTTTCGAATTACACGCCCCGATTCGACTCATAATATCCAGTAACATCGAAGTTACGATCTACAAAGCAGAAAGTCTGAACCGAATACTGCCGGTGAACATTATTCTACTATCTGATATTTAAAGTGTAATGTAATATACTAAAGTTTCGTTAATCATTGAATAAAATGATTTTGAAGTGTTTTTGTATTTACTTAATACACTGCAGTATCGAAGTATTGCCGGAACCGCTAGTTAGAAATAAACTAGTGACTGATAGCGCTGCTGTCGCGAAATAATTTGAACGTGTTGCTCGCCGCCATTGTAGTGGAAGAAACGTGTTGGAAACGTATGTAGCGAGTAATCTTTGGACCTCGTCGTAAATCTTATAGCGAGTTACTGCTTGTTTTTGACTGTATTTTCCAGAGCGTATATTAGTTTAGTGTGTGAAAATATTCGTGAAGTAAGATGGATATGAGTTGTTCGTCATATAATAGCAGGAACAAATTTGAGGAAAGAAACGATATGACATTTCTCAGGTACATAGCTGTACTTATTATTAATTAGTACGTATTTGTCAAGAATTATCAAACAATTACATTAACCTAATGTGCTGTTCTAGATTAATTGCAGATTTCCGGTATCCAAACCAGAATTTTCCACAGAATTATACTTCGTGGAACTCGCAGAAGACACCATAAAGTGTCCCACATGCTTATCGTCTTTATTTGGTACTCCTGTCAGAGTATTGTTCAGCGATTTTCTGAAAAATAAACGGGGAATTGGTGGTCCCTACATCGAGTGTTGACAAAATATGTGAACTATGGGAAAAAGTGATTAGACAAAAGCAGGTGATGAATAATGGAAAGCCACCAAGAGGCAATGTATGTTTAAATGAACAAATACAGGTTTTTGAAAAAGTGAAGGACATTTGTTTCTCTCAGAAACATCAAATACATGCTACTTACACATTGTTTTCTGAAAGCCGTATTATTTTATTAGTGAAAGCTATAATTGCCTTAAACATAAGAATTTGGTTGCACCATACAGCGACTTCATAGTCTGACTCTTCACGAAGATAAACAGATATTAAGACAACATTTTAACAAGGCTGTATAATTTTACATATAAAAGAAGGCTGAAAATATTTTGCTTATTGCAGTGTTGACACGACAAATTTAGTTGTTTTTTTTATTTAGAAAAACTGGAGGTGGTTCACTTAAATGATTACATATGATAGAAGCACTCATGCTTAGGTGTTTGCTGTTTAGTTTTTATTACGTATTCTATAATGTAGTTTAACTGAAGTAAGAGATTACGCTCTGAACTATCCCCCGAAATATCTTTGTTCTGTCATCACTTTACGTGGAGTAGTATTTATATTACCATAAAACGAGTCAGATCTTGTAATAAACAAATTTCATTTGAGTTAATTTCTATGTTATAATTTAAATAATTATGAATCAAAAACATTAATAATACACTAACTCTTCACGTTGTGACTCTCAACGTTGTGATATTTTGTTTATTGTGAAATCTCCAATAACTTTCTTTGTAGATGCGGAGAACTTAGAAATTCTAATCAATGCTGTACACACAGGTCTGGAAAGGTTGGAAACAACTGAGTTATCTCATCAAAACTAATCATATATTTGTACATTTGCGAATTTTGTCCAGTAGCAGAAAATGTTTAAAAAGATATTATTACATTAAAATAATTT